TTTAGGACTGAATTCACTAATCTCCCATAGTTCATTAGGACTAGCAACTTTCACATAACAAAAATGAAGAAACATGACATTAAATGCTTTTAAAAGTCCTGAAGAAAATTTGTCCATTAGCATACAAAAAATCATTCTAAAATTAGTATACTCCTGATTTCAGCAGTATGATGAGTTCTTGCCTGCCTTTCAATGCTGATTTGTTTGTGATAGTTCTGATCATGACCGCCCCCCAAAGGCCCATGTGTCAGCCTTAGTTCCCAGGGTGGCACTTTTGAATGTGACCCCTTAGGAGCCCAGTAAAGAGGTCAGTGGGTCACTGGCGGAGTGTCCTTGAAGGGATTTCCGTACCCAAGTTCAATCCTCTATCTTTTGCCAAGAAAGAAGTTTCGTTCCACCACAAGCTCCAAGCTGTGGTGTTATTTTGCCTTAGGCCCCAAAGTAATGCCAATCCATCAAGGACTGCAACTTCCAAAGCTGGGAGCCAAAATAGCATTTCTCTTTATGAATCAGTAATCTCAGCTACTTTGTTACGGAGACAACATATTACCTCTCATATGCAAGCACATAAAACCACACATGGGCAACAGCCAGATAAATAATTATACAGCCATAGCCATTAAAGAACAAGCTTTATTACAAGCCATCAAATCTTTTCCTTCTCTTAAACTAAAATGTAATTACATGTTAACCGCAAAACACACACTCCTACACTACCAGTTAGGATATTACCTCCCTTCAATTCTAATGTATTTACCAATCCTACTTCTTAAAAACATGAAATGAAAAATTTCCACAACAAAGTATTCTAAACTACTAAAAACATGTTTGAAATCAAAGAGCCATGTAATTCTGAATGCTTTCTCTCTCTCTCTCTCTCTCTCTCTCTCTCTCTCTCTCTCTCTCTCTCTCTCTCTCTCTCTCTTTTTCCTTTAAAACTGGGTGCCAAGAAGCTGAGGCCAAAAGTAGAGCAACTCATTGTGAATGTACTGGCTCCCAAGAGCCTGTTTGCAGGTCACTAAACTGGAACTTGGAATACATTCTTCCATTGAAACAATGTGACAAACAGGCCTTCTTTCCCAGGCCTTCCTACCCAGCCTCCTAAGTCGTTTAAAAAGAAAGTGAACATTAGATACTTTAAAACAGACAAATGAAAAACTCTGCAGAAGAATTGATACATATGTCCTCCTCTTGTCCAGTTCTTACGTCTTCTCCCCATATACACATGTAAGCATGATAAACTTATCTCTCCAGAAAGTAAGTCTCCCAGGACAGCAGCATTAAATTAGGCTGCATTGCCCGTGGATATAAGGTACTCTACCCCACTAAAATCAGTTGTTATTCATATTACATCACAAAATCAGCATTTGTATTTATTACTTTTAAGACTTTGGGGGCTAGAACTGAAAACATTTGTCTAGTATATGTGAGGACCTGAGTTCAAACCCTAGCACCACATTTAAAAAAAAAAAAAAAAGAGTTTTGATTTTAGCTTGGTATGGTGGAAATGTTCTTAGGTCCCTGAAATACAGTAGGAAGGGAAGCTGTGTCTGTAAATGCCAGTAAATGCCAGCACCTACTCTCTCCTGGAAAGCACCCATCTAGGCACTGAGAACACAATAAAACATCTTGTAAGGAAAAAAAAAATTAAACTGCAAGAATGACAAATGACAATCAGAAACTATAACGACCTCTAACTAAGCATTAACTTAGAATGGAATAATAAGCTCTAACTAAGAATGGAATGAGAAGAGGGGAGGCGACCTGGTCAAGAAGACGAGAGGCTCAAAGAGAAAGAGGGACTAAAGTGGAGAAGGTGAGAACAGCCATCTTTAAAGGGGGTTCAGAGTACATCTCTATCCCGGTGTCAATGGGGAAAGCCTGAAGTAAGCAAGCAGGTGGGGTGTGCAACATGGGGCCTGGAAAAAGAAGCATTTGAGGTTAGACCTATCCCCTGACCAAACTGAAACTCAGAATGTAGTCACCTGAACCAGAAGAGTTTGCAAGACTGGTGGCAGGCTACCAGGTCTGTGAACTCTAAGCCACACAGGACTCCATCATCCTTCCTCCCTCCTGCCCTGTGGACCACATCCTGTGAAAAACTGGAAGAGTTCCTCTGCCTTATTTGGCTTGGCCCCTTCTCCCTGCACTGTACCCCACCCACCCCCCCCCACCAACCCTCACTGGAAATGCAGACGAGTCAAGCACTGACAGCAAGGGGGGAGACACCCAAGGATGGATGCAAAGAACAGAGAAGCATGAAGGGAGAAATGTGAGTCCAATGGCCTCCTGCGCCTAGGCATGGAATCTCAGCTCCCCAGGAGGCTGAAGCAGGGAGGTCACAGGTCCAAGGCCAGCACAGACAATGAAGAGAAGTCCTCTCTCAACAGGAAAGTAAGAAAGCTGGGGATACAGTTTAGTGGCACAGCATATTCCTAACATTATGAGGCCCTCTCGATGCAACCACAGGTACAATCAACCAACAAAATGAACTACCTAGTTAAGGCGAAGAAGTGCAAATCAAACGTTGAGAGCTTACTTGGAGGTTCTAGCAGGGGTGCAGCCACTCATATACCCTTGACAAAGACCAGCCCTCCCCTATTAGGGAAGGTCTTTCTTTTTTACCAACCACACAGCTTAGGAAGGCACGCAGTCAGGGTGGTGAGGGAGGAAGAGGCACCTGCCTAGCCATCTGGATCAATCAAATCAATCCTGGTGATCAATGGGCTAACAGGTATCACAAGCTGATTACCCTCACTCATATCTAAACACACTGGGAGACTCTTTAGTGGAATGGTTGCTAAGCAACGAATCAAAACCTGGCTTCTCCGCTAGCAAGAAGTCATGTGTCTTCAGGGAAGTCACTCCAGCTGTCTACCACTTGGTTTCCTCCTGCAGCCTGGCTTCCATCTGCCCACTAAAGCAACAGAGCTTCGCTTCCTGCTCTGGCCTATTGTCCATGTGTACACAGCCCTAAAGCAAGAGGAAACCAAGGCAAACAATGGACGAGCAGCTAAAGATGATGTGCAACAGCTCATACTCTCAGCTGGGTGTCACCTAAACACTTCCAAGAACTACCTTACTGCTAGAAAACCCATCACATAAACCTGAGGTCATTTTTCTCTCCTTAAGGTGTTGTCTCTCTAGTTAAACTCTATCTCAAAGATGGGGTACTTCTTAGAATGAGCCAACAAAACTTAGCTGGTTTTTCTCTGGTGTTTATTTATTTGACTTAAAATTCTTTGCAGGTCTCAGATTATAGCTTAGTGGTAGAGCACGAACCTAGCAAATATACGACCCTGGATTGAATCCTCAGCAACACTAAAAGACTAAAAGACTGCCTAGTCCAGTGGTCCCCCAACCTTCCTAATGCTGCAACCCTTTACTACTGTTCCCCAGCCATAAAATTATTCATTGCTACTTTATAACTATAATTTTGCTAGTTATGAATTTTGTAAATATATATGCTTTCCAATGGTCTTAGGTGATTTCTGTGAAAGGGCCATTTGACACCCAAAGAGGTTGCAACCCCCGGGTTGAGAACCACTGGCCAAAGAGAGTCTGTGGAGTCAGAGTGAGATTCGGATCTGGCCGTGCCCTTAGGCTAAAATGTAAAGGCAGTCAGCCTTGTGGAGGACGTATTCTTCCCAGGTGTTCTCATTCCCACATCACAGCATTAGATACAGTTAGATACAGTATTTTTTTTTTCTATTTAAGACTATCTCGCTAAGTGGTGGTGGCACACGCCTTTAATCCAAGCACTTGGGAGGCAGAGGTAGATGAATCTCTATGAGTTCTAGGTCAGCCTGATCTACAGAGCGTGTTCTAAGATGGGCTCCAAAAGCTATACAGGAAAAAAAAAATCTCAGTATGAAATCACTGACTGGTTCCATTGTATTTATACAACACTGATTTTTCAGATTTTAATAGATTTATACTGAGTTTGATATGCAATCTTAAGTTAGTATAGGTTGAGTATTCCTCATCCAAAAACTTAAAATCTAAAATGATTCAAATCCAAAACATAATGCAAGGGAAATTTTTCATATCTGATATCATCCGGGTGTAGTCAAGACCCAGAAGCACTGGGAACCATGCATTAGATTCCCTTCAGGACATGTGAAGAAGGTAGGATGAGGAACAGATGCTCCCTGTTTAGGCTTAGATCTCACCCCAAGATTCATTATGTACATATAAATACCCGACGAGTCCAAAATACGTCACATTCCTGGTCTCTGGCGTTTTGAGCAAGGGATACTCAACCTACTTAGCAACGAAGAATGTTTAAAGAAACAATACTGCAAAGATACCCATCACATGAAGGCCCATGAAGTAAGACACCCCGTTTCCTATCTTTCCAAAGGCTTCAGAGTCCTCTCCTCCCACATGCTCGCTGCTCTCTGCCTCTCAGAGCCTCCTCCACTAAGCAAGACTTTGGAAATGATCTTGACAGGGGCCTGTGAGCATGGCTTTTAGATCGACCAAATCAACCCTGGCAAGCAGTGAGCCTGCAGGTATCACAACCTGATTACCCTCATATCTCCCTCGTATCTGAACACATTGGGAGGCTTTAATGAAATGATCTCTAAGCAACAAATAATAATTAAAAAAAAAAAAACCTGGTTTCTCTTCTGGACACAAGTCATGTCTTCAGGGAAGTCACTGTCTTCTGTCTACCATTTGGTCGCCAAGGGTCTGACTTCCACCTGGCCATGTTATCATTAAATTTGAAAAAAAAAATTAAATAATCACAACTATTATATAAACAACTTGCTATAACTTAAATGTGAAATTTTCCTACTGGGATTAAAGGCATACAATCTCTGCCTGGCAGAACTAGGAGATTTTAAAATTTAAATTAAACATTTAAATTATGCATTACTAAAATGTTATCAAAGACTGTTAGACTCTCAAAGCAACTGGGCTGACAAACATTTAGTACACTTTAAAGATAGTTTAGAATAAAACTTCATAGTAAAAGGTTCTTAAGAGACTATCACCTTTTTGTTGATGATCGGAACAGACAAGAAATAGTTGGGTTGATAATCTTTCGAGGGTTTTTTCCTCTTCTTTATGTGCTCATTCTTGATGCCTTCATTTTCTTTGCTTCTCTTTGAATTTGCTTGAGGTCCGTCAGTGACTAGAGGAAAACAAAGTGAGAAAGTATCTCACACATTTAAACAAAGACAACAAAGTTGAAAAAGGAAGACGTCATGCAGTGTATATAATAATCAGCAATCATATATAATTGTCATTTTCAAATGTAAAGCAAGAGTCAGCAAGAATTTCCATAAAGAACAAAACTGTAAATGGTTTGAGCTTTGCAGACCACAGGGTCTGTCTTGCAGCTACCTAACTCTGACAAAACAAATCAAAGGATATAGCTGTGTCCCAATAAAGCTTTATTTACAAAAGGAGGTCAGGCAGATTTATACCTTAGGTAGGGTAACAATAACAAGCATTCTCTGCTACATGCCAAAGGGTTGGGTTTTTTTTTTTCTCATTGTTTTTGTTTTGTTTTTTGCTATATAAACCAATATCCCTTCTTAGGCCACCAAGTTCAAGACTATGAGCATGAGCCATTATGTCTGGCATCATGGTTTTTCTACCACTATGAAAGTGGATTGTTGATTGGTTGGTTTGTATTTGCTTATTTCACCCATTCCCTGTGACCTAGCTTCCTTCTGTTAGCCCACTTCCTCCTAACACGATGTCCCACCACTTCCCAGCAAAACTGGTGACCTAGTTCTCAGGCCACTGAGGATATTCATGATCCAAACTGTAGCAAGTGGATCATGTCAGACAGGCTCTAATATAAATTTACAAATCTCTCCATAGGCTAAAGAGGAGATAATGTGAGCACCAAATTGAATAAAAAATTTGGTAGTGTGAATTTTATCAGATATGATCAAACCCACCATTTCATAATGATTCTAAAAAAGAAAAAATTAAAACCAGAATTCAGTTACCTGTGGAGAAGTTAGAGAACCATTATTCTAAAAAATAATCACTCATGTGCACTTGGTACAATTTTATACCCATATAGTGTGTTTGGAGTTTTCTGCCTTTAATCCAGTGCCCTTTGACACACTCCACCTGTGTCACTGTGAGCCACTGTCATGTTTTCTCTCGTTTATAGGATCTTCTTGGTATTTACCAAGTTTATCTGTAGAACCAAAACACAGCATCCCTCTGCTTTCTCACTCCCTGACTTCATTTTCCTCCCAACTTTGGGAACACAGTCTGTGTTCCGAAGCACAGCTTGCTGTTATTCCATTTGCTTGCTTTCACATGAAAAGATAAAAAGCAAATATTTATATAATCATCTAGTTTACCGATAAAATCAGTGACTTGAGGTCACAAAGTGCAAAAAACTTTGGCTGTTTGCTCTGAATCTTTCACCAGATTATTTATAGTAATTTTACTGGTTAGCAAAAAGTCATCCATGGAAATACACTTGCAAACTCATAAACTTAATTTATTATACTTGTTAATTTTCATAATGACTTTAGTAGCCTTTTATTGTACACTGATAAACTTGATGTCAGTGACAAGGGCCATTACTTTCTCAACCGCAGATTTTTTTTTTTAACCAAAGCACCACGTGTCATCTTATGTAAATTATCTAATTTCTCCTCAATTCTACTTATTCATTCAAAAACTACAAAGGAGTGAATTAGAAGAGAAATTAATTTAATTTAATTAAGTACTCCATCTGTTATTGTGGGTTGATTGTTTCCACACTTGCTCTTAATTAAAATGCTGAGAATAAATTAGAGTTTGTTTTGATGTTTCCTTTCTTGTTACTTAAGCAGATAAAAATCTTTCAAGTAGGCTGGGAGTGACTCTGTTCATGTGCAAGTCCAGGACTTGGAAAGGCTAAGAAGGGGAAAGCTACTAAGTTCAAGGCCAACCGGGACTACACATAGAGTCACTACCTTTACCAAAAAAAAAAAAAAAAAAAGTCACCTTAGTCACCCAGTGATATCACAACCATCTGAGTCGGCAGCATTCTCTATGATGTTCAGACAAATAATAATAGCCTAATGGGTCGGCCCACCCTGACATCTACCCCATCTACAGTGCTTGGAGTGACTGGTCCTGTAGAAAGATAACCACGGGATGTCCAAGACTCAGGACAACAACAGGATATCTGAGAGGAGTTTGGTGACTGTCCAGTGATGATGGTGTGCCAGAGGACTTGGACCAGACCAATGACTCACTGCAGGGAACATTCTGTGGGTGGGGCTGCCTGGACAAAAGGATCTACTGAGTGACACACCGCAGCACCCAGTGCCACTAGAAGGAGCGAAGAGGTGTTGGAAAGATGGAGGGTCAGGTAGTGTTGTGTATGTGTGCTGTTTTTAATTGATTTGGGAATGGGGAATTTCTTTGGGGAGGATGCTGCAGGGGTGAAGGGAGGGTATGGAGAGACTGGGAGGTGAGCAGGAATGGGGTGCATGATGTGAAACTCCAAAGAATCAATAAAGAATTACATCATAAAAAAACAAATAGCCTAGTCTCAGAGCATAGCCATTCATTATGCAGGACACATTACTGTATGCAGCATTTGTCTTCCCAACTAATTATATAAAGGACACAGAACATAATTTATCTCTTTTTAACTGACACAGCATAATCTCTGATATCTGTATATACTAAGATAAATCTTTTCTATACAAAAAATTTAGGTAATTTTTTGTTTTATATTTTAAATTTTTCAAGATATGCCTTAACTAGTTAATAGATAATAAAATGGTCATTTCCTCTATCTCAAAATCCCCAATAGTTATATAATAACTCTGTGTGAAGAAGCCCGACACAGTGATGCATGCTTATGTTCCAATGCTTATGAGGGCAGGAGGATCAGAGAAGTTCAGGCCAGTCTTAACTACATAATGACTGTGAAGCTGCTCTGAGGGCCAGGAGACAGTCTCAAAACATACACACATGAACAAAATGAATTTTGAAGACATAAAATGGTGTAGGAGGTCCTTCTGTCTGTGTGTTGCTTTTCTTGGTTAATGAATAAAGAAATTGCCTTGACCTGTTGATAAGGCAGAACTTAGGTAAGCAAGGAAGACAGAACTGAATGCTGGGAGAAAGGGTGGAGTAAGAGACACCATGGAACCATGGAGCTGCCACCACTGGAGATAGACATGCTAAAACTTTGCTGGTAGGCCACGACTTCGTGGTGATGCACAGATTAATGGAGATGGGTTAAATTAAGTTGTAAGAGTTGAGCTCCCGGGGCTGGAGAGATGACTCAGAGGTTAAGAGCATTGCCTGCTCTTCCAAAAGTCCTGAGTTTAATTCCCAGCAACCGCGTGGTGGCTCACAACCATCTGTACTGGGGTCTGGTGCCCTCTTCTGGCCTACAGGCATACACACAGACAGAATATTGTATACATAATAAATAAATATTAAAAAAAAAAAAAGAGTTGAGCTCCCAAAGTCCAGTTGAAAGGCAGAAGAAGGGAGAAGACAAGCAAAGAAGTCAGGACCACAAGGGAATGGTCCACCAGCTGAGGCAGTGTGCCTGTTCTATAGGAGCTCACCAAATTCAGCTGGACTGGGTCTGAATGAGTATGTGATCAAACCGAACTCTCTGATTGTGGCTGACAATGGGGGTTGACTGAGAAGCCATTGATAAAGGCATTGGGACTTCTTGTTACGGCATGTTCTGGCTTTGGGGGACCCTAGTCTATATGGATGCACAGCTCCCTAGGCCTGGATGTGGGGGTGGGGGGAGCCTTGGACTTCCCACAGGGCAGGGTTCCCTGCCCTTTCTCAAGCAGGGTAGGAGAGGGAAGAGGGAGTGTGGGGGAGTGTGAGGGAAATGGAAGGAAGGGAGGAAGTGTAAATAATTGAATGGAAAAATTTTTTTAAAAAGTTAAAAAAATAAAAAGAAATATAATAAATAAATATAAAAATAAAAATAAATAAAAGTTAGAGCTAATGGGCCAAGCAGTGATTTAATTAATACAGTTTTTGTGTGGTTATTTCAGGGCTAAGCTTGCCTGGTGGCTGGGACGAACAAGCAGGCCCTCCTCCTACAATAAAATAAGGATTAACAGCTTCTATAAAGCTGAATTTCACATTTAGGAAAGCCATGTAACTAACTCTCAAATATTTTGTTATGAATCTTGATTTAAATGTGGGCTGGAGAGATAGCGCAACAGGTAAGGGTGCTTGCCACCAAGCCTGAGAGTCTGAGTTCAATTCCCAGGACCTACATAGAGAAGAGAGAGAACCAATTCCCTCAAGTTGTCCTCTGACCTCCACATGTGTTTTGGCATGCACACACTCACACCTATCTACCTACATACATGCAGACATACATATATATCCACACAAACAAAAAGTGTAATTTTTAAAATGTTGCTTGATTGTTTAGAATTGACAATCTAGATGACTATGATCAGTGAAACTAAAACTCTCCCCCATCTCCTGTGGGAAGCAGGCTGGGCTATTCCTATCAGCAAAATGACTCCCATTCCCCATTCAGCGGCAAAGAACAGCAACACCAAACATTTTCTGGATGTTTCCTGGGTTTCTAGCCAATTTGTGATCTACGAGTTTTGACAACAAAGAATCAGATAACGGTTAGCACTCAAAAGTATGACAAGTATTTAAAATGAAATAAAGATGAAGTGCATGACTAAATGTACTGTCCACCGCTTCTAAATATTTGTTTAAATAATACAGTACTTACTTCCACAATCATCTTGAATATCTACAGTAGCAAACGGCATGTCCGTCAGAGAGTCCACAGTGCTGCCTTCTAATTCCCCTGAGACTTTGTCTTTGCTTAACACGCTTTCACATTCATGGGAATTTATTTCTCCTATAACAAACCAGAGAAAGAAACAAAGATTATCCATTGTTGAACTCCTATCCAGAAACCAAAACACCTCAGCTAAGCGAACAATATATAGCATCCTGCATGAAGAGAAGCTATGACTTGCTCTTTTAGCACAGGCTTGTTTTTTTGTTTGTTTGTTTGTTTTTCGAGACAGGGTTTCTCTGTGGTTTTGGAGCCTGTCCTGGAACTAGCTCTTGTAGACCAGGCTGGTCTTGAACTCACAGAGATCCGCCTGCCTCTACCTCCCGAGTGCTGGGATTAAAGGCGTGCGCCACCATCGCCCGGCCACAGGCTTGTTTTTAAAGGTGCATTGTGACATTAAACAGTAAGCTTTCAGGGCTGGAGAGATGGCTAAGAGGTTAAGTGCACTGGCTGCTCTTGAGAGGTCCTGAGTTTAGTTCCCAGCAACCACATGGGGGCTTATAGCCATCTGTACTAAGATCTAGAGCCCCCTTCTGTCATGCAGGTGTACATGCAAGCAGAACACTGTGTATATACTTAATAAATAAATCTTTAATTTAAAAAAAAACAGTAAGCTTTCTAAAGCTTTAGTCCTTTTCTGAAGTGCAGTGTTCAATCCGGCATAGATGACAACAGAGAAAATCTATAATCTTCCATCTTTTAAAAGCCACATTTTTTTCACATCTTCTGGCAACAAATGGCAACAAAGTGTTCACTTGTTTATTGTGTCTTCTCATGTTCATTTTCAGTAATGTTAGCTATATAGGGAACTTTAAAATGTATCGTTTAATGTTTTTATTAGCATATATTAATTACACATTACAGGTTTCATTATGACATTTCCATACATGAACACAGTGTAATTTGATGACGGTCACACACACATAGACACATGCACACACACACACACTTTGCCCTCTCATTCCTTCTCACTCACATTTTGTGTTCTAATCTCTATAAGCTCTAGTCTTTTTTTTTTCTTCCATAAATTCTTCCACTCCACCATTAAACTTAACACTGGGAATCAAGTTAAAAATGCTTGAGGCGGCTTAGTGGGTAAAAGCTCCTGCCGGGAAGGTCTGGCCACCTGAGCTGGATCCCCAGAACCATGAATGGGGTAGAGAAAACTGATTCTGATTGTTTCCTGACCTCCATCCATAGGTCACAGCACACATATCCTCCCACATATGCAAGAGATTGTTCAATACATGGTTCTAACTATGCATTTATGAAATTCAGCTATGAGATCGAATCACCCTCACAGTGTTTTGTAACAGCCCTCCCATGTCATGCACTAAGTCACACTTCACATTTGGTCTTTGTCTTCTTGTTAGGGGTGGAACAGCCACAATGTTGTGGGTGGAGGGCTTAGGAAAGGAAGACTTCAACTGATAAAGTTAATGCCAAGTTTACCTGTCAGTTGTCTCCCCGGTACCATTATTCACCACACCTCTACTGACAGACACAAATGTTATTTGGACTGAAGAAAACCCAGGAATACTTACATAATTTTCACCCGGTGTAATCAGTGAAGACCGACCTGCCCCGAAGACTATAAAAGAAAACATGCATTTCCTGCTGCTGTAATCCTCTATTTTCAAATGCAATAATTGCAAAACACATTTCATTAAGAATATGGCTTGCATGCCCGGAGAGATGGCTCAGGGGTTAAGAGAACTGGCTGCTCTTCCAGAAGATCTGGTTCAGTTCCCAGTACCCACATGGCTCAGAGCAATCTGTTAATTCCAGTTCCAGAGGATCCAACACCTTCTCCTGACTTCCAAAGGCACTGTAAACTTCTAGTACACAGACATAAGACACAGCAAATGAGACAGACACACAAAATAAAATAATAAATCTGAAGGAGGAGGAGGTGGCTCCTTACAGGGCTAGAGACATGACTCAGTGGTTAATAGCACTTGTTGCTCTTCCAGAGAACCTGGGTTCATTTCCCAGTGTCCAGCTCCAAGCACCCACATCTGAAAGCTCACCCACTGCCTGTAAACTCCAGTTCTGGAAATTTCACTCTCTTCTAGCCTCCTTAGGCACCTGGATACTCCACCATACATACATTCAGGAGCACTTGTGCACATAGACACGTGTATGTACAAACATGCACATATACACACACATGCACACATTATAAGTAAATCTTTTAAAATATAAATGTATATATAATGTGAATGTGTGTATATGATATACATACATAATATACACATAAACATATATAAAGTGACTTACTTACTCTGGGAGATAGCTCAGAAGTATAGTACCTCATATGAACAAGGCCCTAGTTTCAATCTCTGGCATCCCAAAAATCTAAATAAATAAAACAAAAAAAAAAAGAATATTGTCTGCAAACTGGGACTGCAAACTTCTAATCCTAGTGATTAGAAGACAGGATGGTCTCAACTTCAAGTCCTTCCACAGCCTGAGTTCAATGCCAACCTGAACATCACTAGTCTTGGTTTTAAAAACATAAACTTTAGAAGTAAGCAAACAAACAAACAAATCATAAACTCTAGCTCCTCTACCTTCTCCTCCTCCAGACAGAAAAGAAGTAAAAAAGAAGGCTGGAAACAGATCAGTGGCACAGAGCCTTCCTAGCAAAGTGTAAGGCCCCAGTACTCTAAGAAATATATGTTATATTTTACAATATAATAATTCTCATAATAGTTCATAGTTAATATGCATACTAAAATACAAATTTTTATTACAATTTGAGTGATTTCTAAAATTATTCAAACACACCCACCCAACCTGTTTTCTGGATTTTAAAAAAAGGATAGTACCTTTCCCAGTCATGTTCAATATCATAAAGACACTAAAAGTGTTTTCTTAATAATGCTATTTATACAATTCAGACTTTAGGAAGTATGAGTGTGCAGAGGTTTGAATGAGAATGGCCCGCATAGGCTCCTATATTTGAATGCTTTATCCCCATTTGGTAGAACTATTTCGGAAAGATTAAAAGTGTGGCCTTTCTGGAGGAGATACGCCACCAGGAGTGGCTTTGAGGTTCCAAAACCCATGCCATGGCATTCCCAATGAGGGTGCTCTCTCTCGCTCTCTTGCTCTCCCTCTTTCTCTCCCTCCCTCCTTCCCTATGTTTCTCTGCCTCATGGTTGTTGTCTGAACATATAAACTCTCAGCTACTACTCCAGTGCCATGCATGCATGCACGCCTGCCTGCTGCCATGCTCCCTGAGAGAGATGATGGTGCCATGCACGCCTGCCTGCTGCCATGCTCCCCGAGATGACGGTGCCATGCACGCCTGCCTGCTGCCATGCTCCCCGAGATGACGGTGCCATGCACGCCCGCCTGCTGCCATGCTCCCCGAGATGACGGTGCCATGCACGCCCGCCTGCTGCCATGCTCCCTGAGATGACGGTGCCATGCACGCCTGCCTGCTGCCATGCTCCCTGAGATGACGGTGCCATGCACGCCTGCCTGCTGCCATGCTCCCTGAGAGAGATGATGGTCATGGATTATTCAGCCCATGAAACCACAAGCAAGGAAGGCCCCCAATTAAATGTTCTCTTTTATAAGCTGCTCCTTACAGCAACAGAAAATTAACTAAGACAGAGTGTCTGGTACATATATGTTCAACAAATTTTAGGTTACTATAAGTCTCCTTACAAGCTCAGAGTACTTGAAAATCATGAGACTAAGTCGAATGTTAGCTTTCTGCGTGTATAGTAGCATTTTAAAAACACAAATGCAGCTTAAACTTAACAGTTTGAAGAGATCAATATGGATCTTGAATTTTCACAGGCAGCTCCATGTAAAGGACCATCACCCACCAGGCAGCTTATACACACACACACACACACACACACACACACACACAAAATCTTTCAACAAAAGAGCACTTGTAAGCCAGGCACAGGAATGCACACATGCCTCTAATCCTAGCACACAGAAGAACGCTGAACTCAAAGCTAGCCTGGGCTACAGACTAAGACTGCAACTCAAAATAACAATATCAATGGTAAAGAATTTTTAAAGTGCTTATACAACTAAACATATTACCTATACACTATTACCCATAACATACATGAAGACTGAATAAAAATCAGAATACAATTAAACATATCGCCTATAAACTACTACCCATAACATATGAAGACTGCATAGAAATTAAAATGAAAGAAGTACATAAACCCAACTATAACTCTAATTTTTTCTCTATCCAAGCATTCAGTGACAGGGCACAGTCCCAATATGATCCTAGCACGCCAATACTATTTCCTTAGTCCATGTGTTGCACGGAAAGTTCCTGACTCACAATGGCTTCAAGTACAACCTCTCAACCCCATGATGGTGCAAAAGTTGGCCATCATTCCTACTACTGTGACTGAAGGGCAGCTCTCAGAGCCAAAGAGGCAGGGCATGTGACGGGTTCAGGCTCTCAGAGCCAAGGAGGCAGGGCGTGGGGTGGGTTCAGGCTCTCAGACAAGGAGGCAGGGCATGGGGTGGGTTCAGGCTCTCAGAGTCAAGGAGGCAGGGCATGGGGTGGTTTCAGGCTCTCAGACAAGGAAACCGGGTGTGGGGTGGGTTTAGGATCTCAGAGATAAGAAGGCAAGGCATAGGCTCTCAGAGCCAAGGAAGCCGAGCATGGGATGAGTTCAGAATCTCAGAGGCAAAAAGGCAGGGCATGGGGTTGGTTCAGGATCTCAGAGCCAAGGAAGCAGGGCTTGGATGGGTTCAGGATCTCAGGCAAGGAGGCAGGGTGTAGGGTAGGTTCAGGATAGCAGAGCCAAGGAGGCAGGGTGCGGAGTGAGTTCAGGATCTCTGAGAAGGAGGCAGGATTTGGAATGGGTTCAGGATCGCAGAGACAAGGAGACAGGGTGTGGGGTGGGTCTCCAGAACCCACAGAGTCTGAGGGATGTGGTTAGAATCATGTTTTCTCTGTTCAACTTTCCTTCCTGACAGCTATTCGGGAAAGCAGTGAACATTCATTAGAAATGTTCAAATTTTGGGTGTTGACTCTTCCCAGACTAGGCACATGAGGCATGGTCCCCTCTTGTGATGTTGGAGTCCTAACTTCCAGGTAGCCCCATGATCTTGAGATAAAAGACCCAATACTCTAGAGGGGACTTTGTTGCTAAGCAATGATGTTCAGCAGGCCAGGTATATTTTAAGGCCTATTTTCCCCTTACAGCATTTGCCGCTTGACAATGAACTCTTACAGCACTGATTCTTGGCAATATACAAAACAGAGGAAACTGGCTTCTGGGTTGTCATACATTCTAAAAGCGAAGAGAATAATTAAAATAGCATGGTGATTAAGTCATTCTTTAAGAAGTCCTTAATCGGGTTTAATTTTTGTATCTCGTAAGATCAATTAAGCATCTCCACCAAGCAAGCAAAGCAACTGCTAAGGGAGTCACTTGATGAAGCCAAGGGAAGACTCTCATAGCAGCCCCAAACTCATCAGGATCTGGATCCCACCCCAAGCCAATCAGACCAGGTCTACAGTGGAGTAGACCAAGTCAGCCTCCACGATTCTTTAAAAGCTTCTGGGTGATTCTACAGTGCAAGGGAAGTTGGAAAGCTACTGCCAAAACTCTCACTTTTCCTATCCCTTGATCCTCCTCTAAATGATGGATTTCAATAAGGTATGATCAATCACAAAGTAAAAAAGCCACTAAGGGTGCCAGCAATCCAGTTTCCTTCCAGGAACCTAGAGATCCCTTTGGCCACACCAGAAGGACATGACTCTATTGCTCTCCACTTGTCTGTCCTCTCCTTGAGATTCTAAACCAAAGCGATGAAACAACCTACCACTTTAATTAGGACACTTGGTGAAAGTGGAAACTTCCAACAATTATCAGCAAACACGGTACCCTCCTCTCTGTTCCTTCAGTGCCCCTTTGATTCTTCCACTCCTAGCACAGAACCAGCTCGCCGCAGGTACCCTACAAATTTTTACTGAACGACTGCACAAAGTACACACCTGGGAGTGGTTCCTAATTCACTGTAGTGCAGCCGTATTGATACCCATGAAAAACAATGGTATTTAACAGCAGCCTTTGAACACGGCAGGCTCCCTCATTTTCACAGAATGAATAAAGGGCACAAAAATAACCACTAAGAAATGGGGGTGGGGGATGCAGCTTAGCCAGAGTGCTTGCCTAACACGCCTGGCCCTGGGTTCAATCCCACACACCAAAACCAAACCTAGGAACTAACCAATACAAGAAAAAAAAAGGAGACATAATATGATTTACTCTATAGCATTCTGCATCTTTTGTCTGTGTGTACGTTCGCTTTCTTGGTTTTGGTTTTGCATTTTTTGAGACAAGGTCTCCTAAACTCTAAGCTGGCCTCAAACTCACCATGTAGCTAAGGATGATCTTGAACTTGAATTTTCCCACCCCACTGTAATTCTTAGGAATTACAGTAGAACACAACAATACCCACCTACTTGTCATCATTTAAAAAAAAAACACATTAAACTCAAAAGCAATAATATATCAAAACTGACAAAAGAACTTAAAATACAAACTATCTTCCATTTTTAGAGAATAGAATTATTGCATACAAGACTCATTAACTCCAAAAAGAGAATGTCACTGATGACTTTTTTCTTTTCTTTCTTCTTTATGACACTTCTTTCTTCTTTATGACTTTAATTTTGGGGTTAGCAAATTATTGGGTTCTACTATGGCATCTTCATCCATAGGTATTGTTGTCCTTTGCTCATAATGGTTCACCCCGCCCACCTCCAGCTGCTTCCCCATCTTCCTCCAGTTAATCCTTCTCTTTCCTGTTACATAGGTTTCATTAGTCTGTACTGTCTACCACCTTTAGAATCCCTTCCTCCCCATCACAACCCCCTCTCTAATTCCATGACCTACAAGCACACATATATAAACATATATAATTTTAATTCAGCTCCCACACATGAGAGAAAATATACAGGTATTTTTCTGAGTCCTGTTTATTTCTCTTAAGATAATTAAAATTTCCAGTTGCATCTATATTTCTGCAACTGTCATGACTTATTTTTCTTTACAACTGCAAAAAATGCTTTCGAAAAAACTGCCTTAAAACAGTTGATCCTTACGCATGTAAACAATAAATTCATTGTTTTGACTGCTATGATGTTGCTTAAATATGCTGGGCCTGTTACATATATATAACCCCAGATATTTGGGGAGCTGAGACAGGACTGTAAATTTAAAAGAACTCTATACAACTAACTTAGTGAGATTTCTGTCTCAAATTAAAAGTTAATGAAGCTTGGGATATACCACCATGGGACAGTCCTTGTTTGCCCTTGTACCTTGTACCAGGCTGAGATTCAACTCTACACAGTAAATAAATAAATGAAGTCGCCTAGGACAGGCATGTTGAGTCACACATGCAACCCCAGAACTTGGCGGGGCAAAGGCAGGAGGATGGGCTGTCCTAGCCTGAGCTAAATGGCACAAAACATTTTAAAAAGTCACCCAAATTTTAATATGTCATTATTTAAAACAAAATTTATCTTTTCCACAAATTCAAATAACCACAGGGATAAATGTTACACTAGTAACAAACATGAATCAAAACTGGAAACTAGCATTATTAATACTAACCAACATTCAAACAGGAGCGTTAGGCCAGGCACACTCAGTTAGAAGCATTTTGGGAAGTAACTCACTTAATTTATACAATTATGCTATCAGGGAAGACTATTCTTACACCAGCAGATGGTTTAGTAACTTTCCCAGGAGGACATAGGTTCAGGAACTGCCATCTGGATCAAGTGACTCTGTCACATGACCCACAATTTCCAGAATCAACAATGCCCTGTGCCCTTACCATATACTGGCTGCAGCACTGTAAACTGAGGCAGATCTTTCAGAAAGCAATGTGCCAATAGATCAGGGGCAAGAAGAGGGTTGAAAAATCTGGGTTAATATCATATACACTCAAATAAGACTCCTCACAACCTTGCTTGAAGTAAAAGGACAAGGGGAGAGGAGGGGGGGCAACATAAATGTCAAAGAAGAGAAACACTGCATGCTCATTCTGGAGACTCTGGTGATCAACAGTAACAGTTATGAGGGGCAAGTGTAACAATAGGAGAAAGATGATTAAAAAAAAACAAAAACAAAGCAAAAAAAAACAGATATATGGGGGCTGCTGAGCTGGCTCAGAGGTTAAGAGCATTGGCAGCTCTTCCAAAGGTCCTGAGTTCAATTCCCAGCAACCACATGGTGGCTCACAACCATCTATAATGAAATCTGGTGCCCTCATCTGGCCTGCAGGCTACATGCAGGCAGAACACTGTATAAATAAATAAATCTTACAAAACAAAACAAAAAAATATGTGGTGAAGGGTCTGGCTCTTGTAGACTTAGTGAGCACAAAGTCCTAGGTTTGCTCCCCGCATTACAAAAATAAACAGGAGATTAATTACAAGGCAGAGGGGAAACTGCATGCTCTCAAGATTTACAGTTAGAAAAAAAGAAGACTAATGGCTGAAAAGTACTTCTGAATGCTAAACACTTTCCAACGGCTGTACAAAATTTTAAATTGAATATTTCTTTTATAAGAAAAACCATGAACGTGTATATTTAAAGTGTCTCCTAAAACCGTACACCGACGCCCAAATATTCAACTCATAGGTCCACTTCAGCCAATGGGATCGTCAAAGTCAGGCGGACAGTAAACATAAAGACAGATTGCCTAAGTCATACAAAACAGGCTTCATATCTCAACAATGATACACAGCCCCGGTAAGCAAGGCTCTCTTCTAACCCCCGAGCTAAATAGCTATAGAAAGGGCCTGTCTTTCATTGTGGCCCAGCTACTCCGATTTAGCTAAGAGCAGCAGCACAGCAGGTCTCCAGAAATGTTTAAACTTCAAGCTTCCCCATCTTCATCCCGAAAAGGAAACAATCTAAATGATTAAGGAGAAAATGCCAAAGCAGTGCAAATTGCCAAAGCAGTAACAAAGCTTAAAGTGCAGGAAGGTACTTCGACAAGCACTTTAAGCTTTGTTACTATATGGAAGAGACATAAAGCCGTGCTAACAGCATCCTAAACTGCCAAGCCACACTGTGTAAATGGGCGGGAAGAGTCCTCCCTCCTTCCGTATCTGCCCTATTAACCACGCCCCTGCACCTCATTAAAAAAAAAAATCATCTCAAGCAGCGACACTTTGTATCTTTCCACTCACATGAAAGTTATAAACACATTTACACTATTTACCTAATTTATATTTACATATTTAGCATGTTTGTACAACGTATTTTAATATTCTTATGCCTTGTATACGTTTATATACAATGATATAATGATCTTGATGAGCACCTTTTTTTCCCCCTAATTCCTACCCAAATTCAGCACATAGCAAACGCTGAGCCAAGCTGAAGTCCCTTCTGGGCGCCAGTAGAGCTCGTTCCCATACCTCGAATAAAACCCTAAATGATACAAGATGGTGTTCAAACATTTCTATTTGCCATAAAAAATAAAATGAAGATTTTGGCTTTTTTTTTTTCTTGGTTTTGTTTACTGCCCCAACCCAGTAGGAAGGGGTGTGTTGCAAAAACTTTGGGCCATGGGTCGTCACGAGATCCTAAGAGATTTACAAAAAAAAAAAAAAAAAAAAAAAAAAAAAAAAAACTACGACTCGTGGGATCACACCCCTCGCCACCCGCGGTGTGGGGAGGTGCATCCAGACGCATCCGGGCAAGCACATCACCCTGACCACCGGAGTGCACCGGGCTTCAGGGTCAGCACAGAGTCGGATGCAGGAGGGGGAGGAACGCGAGGGGCGTGGGGCAGCGGGAGGCCTGGGAGGCGGAGCAGGGTGGCAAGCCCGCCCCACGGCAGAGGCGGCCCGGGGCGCGCAGGGCGGTGCGCTCGCTCTCACCCGCAGCGGGGCGCTCCATGGTCGCGGCGCGGAGGAGACGAAGGCGGAGGCCCGGGGGGCGAGGGGCGGCGGGGGCCCTGGCCGCGGCGGCCAGGCCTGCGGAGGCGCGGAGCCCCGCAAGGCGCAACATCCCCGGCGCCCGCCGCTTTGGGAGGAGCCGGAAGGGGCCGACCCGGCGGGGCGCGGGAACCCGGATTGGGGCCCCGGCCCGAAAGGCGGGGCCGTCCCCGGGGCCAAGCTGGGCTCCGACCTCTGGCAGCCCTCCGTGATTTCCTGCGGCGCGGCCCTTCCCGTCCCACGCTTCGAGGGGCGAGATTGGGACCGCCTGAAAGCATTCCTTGGCCTGTTGTCTCTTGAGAACCCGAGTGTTTGGTTTAGCCTGGAGCTTTGAAAACACAGTTCTGATTGCAAAATATGTGGGAAGAGCGAAATGTACAAGGTCTTGTACGCCGCTATAAAGAGATGCTTTATTTAGTTTGCTTTACCCCCGCCCCCCCCCAAAAAAGAGGAAGAAGGAGGAAAGAAAAACCAAATTGGGACGCAGTCTGAATTATTTTTTTTTAAACAGCAGTATAATAGTTACAAGTCGGAATAGCTCGATAATTGGAAATCATCTACTGAGTTTTGCACAACAGGTTCCTTCGTATCTGAGTAAAATAGAAGCGGAAGCAATTTAAAAAAGTAAAAAAAAAGTAGGATAGGAATGCTTTTTACCTTTTTACAAACTACAACTGGTTTTTCCCAGCTAGGGACAAATGGTAGCGTTTTTGGGGTTTGGTTTTGGTGGTGGAGGTTGGTTGATTTGGGCCTGGGCGTTGTTGCAAGCAAGCAGTTAAACATAGTTGATACAGCAAAAGTTATATTTTATCATGCCGAGGGTCATCACGCAAGGTTCATACTCCAAATTCCTAACTACGGTCCTAAGCTTATCTCCTCAAATCTGCTCACCTGTGGGTCTCAGCTGAAGGTAAGGTCCAATCTCGAGCAGAATGTCTCTGATTCTGGATCCTGGGGGAGACTCTCCAGCCGCAGGGCAAATCAAGGTGGGTGTCTCCAAATATGCAGAGCAGAGCATTGCTCTTGGTCTCTGCTTAAATACTGTCCAGTGGGCGGTGTGGCATTCTAGTCTTGTGTCTGGTTGTCTTGATATCACTGAACTTTGGTGATACTTCTTAAGCAATTTTTCTATGTCTAAAGGGCCTTTTTTTTTTTTTGCTATGCTCATTACAGGGTTCTGTGTAATGTTTTCCTCTTTTGTGTTTTTGAGGGACCCACTACCCGGCTCATAAATAAATCCCACACAGAGGCTTATTCTTAGTTCTGAATGCCCGGCCTTGGCTTGGCTTATTTCTTGCCCGCTTTTCTTAACTTAAATTATCCCAACTACCTTTTGTCTCTGGGTTTTTATCTTTCTCTGTTTCTGTATGCCTTTCTTGACTTCTTTCTCCGTGGCTTGCAGCAGTAGCTGACCCCTGGTGTCCTGGTCTCCTTGTTCTCCTGCTCCCTCCTGTCTTGTTTTTCCTTTTGTTTATCCTCTCTGCCTGCCAGCCCCACCTGTCCTTGCTCCCGCCTCGCTATTGGCCTGTCCCCGCTTCCATTAGACCACCAGGTGTTTTAGACAGGCAAAGAATCACAACTTCACAGAGTTAAACAAATGCAGCATAAACAAAAGCAACAAACCTGGAAATAATACTCCCCAACAACTGGGGCTGTATGATATAATTCAAGAAAACAGGAAGCTGTAGTGTTAACAACAAATTGATCCAGCCCACTGGGAGAACACTTTACTTATCATGAATATGTTCTAGAAAGGACATGGAAACAAAGAAGACCCCCACATAACTACAGCAACTGACACAAGCTGTCTTAGCGGGACACCCTTCGTCACCACACTCCAGAATTGTGTAGCTGGAGTTTGAGACCAACCTGGGGGTGCATAGCAAATTTCAGGTCAGCTTGACCTATATAGTGAGACCCTGCTTTAAAAAAACAATAATTAAGAGTTGACATGAAGAGTACACAGTGGAAACACTGAAAGGGGGTTCCTATGACTTTCACTGAAAGGGGGTTCCTATGACTTTCACTGAAAGGGGGTTCCTATGACTTTCACTGAAAGGGGGTTCCTATGACTTTCACTGAAAGGGGGTTCCTATGACTTTCACTGAAAGGGGGTTCCTATGACTTTCACTGAAAGGGGGTTCCTATGACTTTCACTGAAAGGGGGTTCCTATGACTTTCACTGAAAGGGGGTTCCTATGACTTTCACTGAAAGGGGGTTCCTATGACTTTCACTGAAAGGGGGTTCCTATGACTTTCACTGAAAGGGGGTTCCTATGACTTTCACTGAAAGGGGGTTCCTATGACTTTCACTGAAAGGGGGTTCCTATGACTTTCACTGAAAGGGGGTTCCTATGACTTTCACTGAAAGGGGGTTCCTATGACTTTCACTGAAAGGGGGTTCCTATGACTTTCACTGAAAGGGGGTTCCTATGACTTTCACTGAAAGGGGGTTCCTATGACTTTCACTGAAAGGGGGTTCCTATGACTTTCACTGAAAGGGGGTTCCTATGACTTTCACTGAAAGGGGGTTCCTATGACTTTCACTGAAAGGGGGTTCCTATGACTTTCACTGAAAGGGGGTTCCTATGACTTTCACTGAAAGGGGGTTCCTATGACTTTCACTGAAAGGGGGTTCCTATGACTTTCACTGAAAGGGGGTTCCTATGACTTTCACTGAAAGGGGGTTCCTATGACTTCTTTTTTTTTTTTTTCCATACCTGTAGCATCAAGAAGCTGGTAAAGAAATGCAGAGTTCTTTACTGGATATTCACAGTGCCAGCCTCTTTTGTGCATTTAAGATTGTGTGTGTGTGTGTGTGTGTGTGTGTGTGTTTTGTTTTTTTGGAGCAGATTATCTAATCATAGAGAAAGAACCAAAAATAAGTAAGGGAGGTTGAGGCAGGAGGATCTTGAATTCAGAGGCCAGCCTAGGCTACATGGGGAGTTCAAGATCGCCTGGGCTGGGTAGGTTAGGGACTATGTCATAAGAATCACTTGGAGCTGAAATCTATTTAGAAGCCACAGATAGGAAAACGAGTCTTTGCCTTTCCCTCTTCTGCCGGGAAGTAGAACAGACGTTTCTCTTAGTAAGGATTTGTTTTTTCCATTTTAGAGGTATATTTACATGATTGGAGAGTAGGGACAACAGACTAAAACATGCAAAATTAACATGCAAAAGAAGCCAGAAGCCAGTTTGCAAAGTCTAAAGCCCCACCTCCCACCCCGCCACAAGGCTTTGTGTAACAAACAACATAATCCAGAAAAAAAAATGCTATACAAACCTGGGCGAAGTGGGTGCTGCCCCTCATGTGTGCTCTGATGCTTTGGGGTTTCTTTCCTCGACTCACAAGCCCACTCCTTTATTTCCCAGTGTTTCTATTTCTAACCCTGTATCTGTGGTGCATTGGGATTGGGACACCAACCCAGCCATATAGATTGTAATCTGTCCTGCCTGCAAAATGTGCTGGGACAATGAAGGGTCAGAATTTGTGGGAATGACTAACAATAACTGGTCCAATTTGAGGTCCATACCAAGAAAGGGAGCCCATGTTTGAAACTGCTTGGGTGAACAGGAATCAGGGACTGGATATCCCAGAAACCTAGGATAGAAAAGAAGGGGGGGGGGAAATATTCTTAACAATATTCTGCTATATTCATAGATCTGATACCTAACCATCATCAGAGAGGCTTCCTCAAGCAGCTCGTGGGAGCTGATGCAGAGACCCATAGTCAATCCTTAAGCAGAAAGGGGAGGCAGAGTAGTCGAGTACACCAGGAAAATATGTCCCACAGAATCAACTAAGCCGGGAGCAGGGTTCACAGGACTCACAAAGACTAAAGCAAAAATAACAGAGCCTGTGTTGGTCTATCCTAGGTCCTCTGCAAATACGTTATGGTTGTTAGCTTGGTGTTTTTGTGGGTCTCCTAACAGTGGGAGTTGGGTTGTCTCTGACTCTTTCACCTGTTCTCGGGACCCTTTTCCTCCACCTGGGTTGCCTCTCCTGGCCACTGATATGAGAGTCTGTGCCTAGTCTTTTTGTTATACCATGTTCGGTTGGTATCCCTAGGAGGCCTGCTTATTTCTGAAGGGAAAGAGAGGAATGGATCTGGGAGAGAGGAGGTAGAGGGGGCTGTAAACCCCTCAAGGCTTGTGAGTGGCCATGCTCTCTCCCAGGCTATTCTAAGGGTCTTAATGGCTGGTTCCAGCACTTCAAGACCCAGGCAGCCAGGTTCTACTCTACAGAAAAAAAAAAAAAAAAAAAAAGCCCAAGATCAGGCCACAGAATCCCACCAATCCCAGGTCACCCAGAAAGCTCCATCCCCCCCCCCACAAGAAACCCTTTATAAAGCCTGCCTCCTGCTCAGTTCTTTGCTGCTTCTCTCCCAAGCAGAGGCTGCTAGCCTCTTGTGTCTTTCCCAATGAATTGCTTGTGTGAGGTTTTTTGTGTGTTGTGATTCTGGGGTATTCCTTGGCTCCTGACTGCCCGAATACCTTTCTCTTCAGAACAGTAACACTTCCGGGGAAGAGAGGGAGGTGTTGAATGAAAATGGCCCCCATAGGCCCATAGGGAATGGTACTATTAGGAGGTGTGGCCTTGTTGGAGTTGGTGTGACTTTGTTGGAAGAAGTATGTCACTAGGGGTGGACTTTGAGGTCTCAGATGCTCAAGCCAGGCCCAGTATCTCACTCTCTTCCTGCTGCCTGCCAATCTGGATGTAGAACTCTCAGCTACCTCTCCAGTACCATGTTTGTCTGTGTGCCACCGTGCTTCATGTCCTGATAATGGACTAAACCTCTGAACTGTAAGCCAGCCTCAATTAAATGTTTCCGTATAAGAGTTGTTGTGATCATGGTGTCTCTTCAGAGCAACAGAAACCCTATCTAAGAGAGGGGGAAGGAAACTGGGAGGAGTAGAGGGAGGGGAAGCTGTGGCTGGGGTATATTGTATGAGAGAAGAATTTAAAAAACAAAAACAAAAAGAGCCTGGACTAGGATGCCCTGTGAACTCAGATTCAAGGGCAGGCACTAAGCGTGCTTTTCCTTTTCCTTTTATCTATTTTTCAGTTACTGGCCAAG